TCATGGAGACAGCCATGTTGTTGTCTTGTAGCAATAGAAGTCACAGACGCCTAGAGTTGGAAGGGACCTTGAGGTCATAGAATCATAGACTCCTAGGGTTGGAAGGGACCTTGGAGGTCACAGAATCATAGACTCTCAGCGTTGGAAGGGACCTTGGAGGTCTTCTAGTCCAACCCCCACCCATAGCAAGAATCCTCAGACCATGTCAGACAAATGGCTGTCCAACCTTTTCTTGAAAACCTTCAGTGATGGAGCCTCCAGACTTCAAGAGGTAGGCTGTTCCACTGTTCCATAGCTCCCAGAGTCAGGAAATATCCTCTTTATTTGGAATGTGGATCTTCCTCCATAATATGGGCATGTGGTACCGCACTGTCTTATACCAGAATGTTTTTTTCAACTTCCCAGCTCTGGAAATTTCCTGGTGGTCTCTCATCCAAGGACTAACCAGGCCTGATCCTACTTAGCTTCCAAGGCCAGCAAGACTGGCCAAGAACTGCCTCCTACTGGGCAGGGGGGAAAAATGGGTGAATGGTATCAGAGTTTCAAAGCTCCTTGCAAAGAGAAGGAGCGAGGTGCTGCCAATTACTGGCACTATGATACAGCCACTGAATGACGTCTGTTAGAGCAGTGTTTCTCACCCTTGGCCATTTTACAATGTATGGATTTCAACTCCCAGAATTCCCTAGCCAGCATGTCCATGCATGTGCACAGATGTCCACACTTTTTAAAATGGCCAACACTGAGAAACTCTGGCTTTTATATAAGTACAAAATTATATAAAACTGAGCTGGTCTTGGTACAAATCCTGAGATTATCCAGGGCAGGAGCAAATGATCTGTAGAGTCGGAAAGCTGGGTGTGAAGTTGTGAAAAGATGAACCACAGCTGTTACTAGTCCTCCTCCCCCACTCCTCCTATCTTGCACTTATTTTGTACGACTCAAGTTGTCGTACATCATGCTCCTGCCTCCTACTTTCCCCACAACGAGAACCCTTTGGGCTGAGGCAGTGTGACCAGCCCAAAGTTACCCAACTGGATTCCATGCCTCAGGCAGGACTAGAACTCACCATCGCCCAGTTTCTAGCCCAGCATTTCCTGTTGGTGATCCACATGTTATGTTCTGCATCTCAGGATGCTGTAAAAGCCAGAGGAGCAGAGCCAGAGGACCCTCCCCGCAAACCTAAAGGCTACTCAAGCAGGGGTGTTCGGGGGGTAAAATAAGTCAAGATGGCAGCTTTAACGTGATTGAAGCCATGCCTGCTTTTATTTTATTTATTTAGAAAATTTACATGGCTGCCTAGCTTATACAAAATAGTCCTAGGCAGCTCGCAACAACTGTCAGTAAAAATAGAATACAGGTAGTCCTCACTTAGTGACCACAATTGGTACCAGCAACACTGTTGCTAAGTGCTGCAGTCGCTAAGTGAAACCACAGGAGCATGACAGGCTTATGACCTCATTTCCTGTGATGGAATGGTTTGATGAAGGCCGCGCTCGGGGAGATAAACATTTCCTTAGCCCCCAACAGGAGCGTGGGAAGGTT